AGTAATTCTAATCTATTTATTATATAACTGCTCCTCTCTTAAAAGATATATTCACCTGTATAAATCGTTTCCTTTGTCTCTCCTTATTAAGTTCCAAAATGCGATCTGAAACTTGTCCTGCAGAACAAAAAATAACAATAATGGAGAAATGAATACAAACTTGGATAATTTATCCATTACTTAGAGAGAGGAAAGCCAAGATCACTGTAAGACAAGATGTCTTTAAATAAAATGTACTAAAACAGATCATAAGCTTATATGATTCTGTTTGATGTAGCCAACATTAATGGAGCCTGGTGATTACGTTTTTGGCCATTTTATATATAAGGTAATCTCTGTCATGTGAAGACACGACAGCACACAAATATGACTGGCATTTATAATGAACATGCTTGAATGGATCCTTGCTTAATGTAATTAGCCTATATATGCAAATTATGGCATCAGAAATCCTGCAGCAGCTGCTGTTAGGAGGGCTTGGCAACTGTGTGTGTTATAAGCCAGTCTTACAGACCAAATGGACATATTTTCAAAGACTAGAAACAGATAGAATGATGAAGATAGATTAAAAATTGTACATCTTTGGAATGTATAAATCCAGATATCCTGGATAGAACATTTCAACAAATACCAATATAACATGTTTTCCACAGTTGCGCTGTAACAATAACTCACAATTGTGCTGGACCACCGGATCCCTATTAACCCTACAATTTTAATAAAAAACAGTATAGAAAACTGCATTTAGTGTTGTTTCATGGACCATTTACCGGCCTCACAAGCATGATCTATTGGTCACAAGTAGGAGACACTCTTTTAAAGACCCAGCATATTTTCTACTCTACCATAAGCACCTTGAAAATGAGACTTAACCTGCAATCACTTCTTTTAATATCTTGTCACCTGCAGATTTTGCACTGGAACTGGCCTTTCCAGTTCTACTGTTTCAGTTCACGTTTTGCACAGTGGAAGTGAAAAAGGGCAGCGCACCGTGAACCATCTCGGCAAACGCATACATCTGAGGTGTAACTCATTGGGAAAACCAGACACTTTAAAATACTGAAGTGACTCAAAGGTTTAAAAAATATATATGTATTACGAGAGCCACAAAAAAGGTTACAGACAGAGCTCCACAAAGCCTGCACGGATACATTCCAACAATTCAAGGTGGCAGAACAGGTGAAATACAGACCATAAAAACGGTTCGACATTAACTTTCCAGACTGTCAGAGACAGCAACCTTGACCCCATCTTTCCCACACAAAAAAAAATATTGAATATATATCTATATCTATATCTCTAGCCTGGACCACAGATATAGTCCAAAGAAAACCACATTGCAATTTCCACATTAGGCTTATAGGAGAATAGGCATCATCTGAGGAACGTCCATTATAACGCCCATGAGGTGATTATCTTAGGCCAGGTTGACGTAACATTATGCTTGGTTAGCAGTTTTAGAACAGCAACACAACACAGTTCACTTGCTGCACATGGCTACTCACACATAGCTCTGTGCAACCCTTAGAGCTGACTTTAACCAAACTAAGTAATTACATTTGTTTTGTTTTGTTTAATTTAAAAAGAAAATGCAAATGTAAGACATTAGGGCAGGTCCTACTATCACCTTTCTTAAAAATTCGAGACTTGAAGACTACTTTAACATACTTGCTTACAGACACATTTTGAGACTGTATTAATGATCTTCAGGAAAATATGCCACCCTGAGGCTTTTTTCCCTTGTTCACTTCAGGTTATGTCTGCATCCAGTTTTGACATAGGGGCCAAATGCTGGTTGTATATCAGTGCAGTATTTGGCCCAGAGTTTCAAAGTCTTTGCTATTCAGACTTTCCTATGAGGTCAACAAACAAAGTAGTAAAAAAAGAAAATATTAAGGCTTCAAGTAAAAATATTTCCTCTCTCTCCCACCCATGTAGTAAGGTACATTTAATTTCATAATACTCAATATATTATACAGTTAAAGATAACAGAGATCCAACTTTTCAAGGCAGATTGTACTACAATGAAAACCTGGAGGCTAAATGGGAGTGTATGAGCAGGGAATGAACGGCTAATAAAATGCAATATGCAATGAAAATTGATGCATAAAATAAACAAAAACTATTGCTGTTTTTTAAATAAGTAATACAATCCACAGCTAAAAATAAAAACATGTTGAAAAGATTTAAGACTTCTGAAACATGAAATAAACATGACAAAAATAAAGAAGCTACTTTACAAGATGTGTTAACTTGTGCTGGATTTTCATGGCTGATCCCCACCTACTGTAAATTAGCATCACTTAAATGAGCTTTGATGGAGCCACACCAATTTAAACAGCTGAAGATTTGGCCTGCAGTGTCTGTAAAAACAGAGACTATCATCTGGGCAGAAGAACCTTACCGCTAATCTGTAAACTGCTAGAACTATACTACAACATGGACTGGATTCTGCTCCAAAATTAGGCTTAATAAATAGGTCCCCAGTCCCACAACAGGAGCTACGGAAACAGACACTTATATTTATGAGAAAATAGCTGCTGGTTCAGTGCCTTGGATGGAAATGACGCTGGACTTGCTGCATGCAGTCTCCTGTTAACAGTTCTGCTTAGATTATTCTTTCAGAAGATTTGAATAATTTACTCCAGGCTATGTGCACTGAATTACATGCAAACCTCAAAAGGAAAAAAAAAAAAAAAAAGACAGACTTTGGTACCATTGTAAACCTATTAACAAGTCGAATATCTCTCAACTGTGGGCAAAACTACTCACAAAATATATAATCCCTACATCTGAACCTGTAATGACACAGTGCATTCGTTCTTTCCTCCCTTACTCCTTGTGAACTATGTCAAAATAACCCTGGATATTAGTGCTTTATACACACAATACTGTGTTTAGTCTTACTGAGAAATTCTCTCATGAACTAATGTAGTTAACTTCAAAGGCTCTTTGGCCCCTCAAGTTCCTCAGTAGCTTTTTCATTTATAAATGCAGGAGAAAGAACGATCAAAGTGGAGCACCACTGGGATGCAAATCTCAAATACTACATTGGTGCAAATTTTCAGCCGTGCTTGCATGAATTTCATGTACGTATTCAAAGATACATGATAAAATGTGCCCTTGTCTAGCTCCCTAGCCCAAATTCAGTGTGTCACATATCCCCTCTTTTTCAGGGCTTACATATGGCATACATGATACTTTAAAAACAAGTAAGTCTTGTGATACTCTATGCACCAGAGTGAATTCCAGTCCTTGAGAAAGTACTGCATCTTCCTGAGGAGTTAACATCAGGGTAGAGTTGCAGATTAATAACAGTTAAAGATGGAAGAAATCTATAAGGCTATCTGGTCTAGCCCCTTGCCCCTGCAGGCTCACCTCTTACAGAAATTTTTTTAATGACTTGTCCAAATATAGTTTGACTGTCCTAAATATTAGTCTCCAATATTCTGCCTTGGAAGACTATTCCAGTGCCCCTTCCCCTCCATCTTTTCTGCCCCCTTCTAAATGTAGACCATTGGTTACCAGTGACAAGCCTTTGATTTACCTTTGGTTTTACATCTTTTAACTAGCGTATTTGTAAAATTATGATACTCAATTTCCACTTCATTGCTTAGCCAGTGGCACGTTTTTAGCCCTTTAAATCTTCTCATCAGCCAGCCCATCCAGTCTTTTAATATATATTGCTCCATCTGTACCTGATCCAGCTTGCCAGCATCTTTCTGGTACCGTGGTGCCTCCAACTAAAGACAATATTCTACATGCCAGCGAGCAAATCTGCATAGAAAGACTATTCCTTCTCTGCTCTGCAATGTCCCTACAGTAGGCATTTAAAATATCACCAAGGCAATAAAATGCACACTCATTTCTAGTTCACTTTCTCATAACTTTGGCCTATTGCAGCTGCATTGCTTTCCAGGTTTCTCCCTTCAGGCAACACAGAGCATTACACAGCGAGATGATTAACTTTCTTATGTTCTCTTCAGCCTTCCTCTCCAAAAAATGATGTGATATTCAAGGGACATAAGCAGCATGTATTGCAGCAGATGTCAAGATTTATCAAATCAAAAGATAAATTTTAACCAGGCAAAACTGAGGTCAATATTTGCCTTCTGGAATAATTAATCTCAACATACATGAAAACAAGTAAGATGTTATCAACACATTCTGAATTGCTACCAAATATCTGGAGAGCTCTCCATTATTGTCAAAGACTGAAAAGGATTCAACCCCTTGAAAGAAATATCCTGAAAAATGATGAATTCAGCTCTCTAGTTAAAACTATTCACCAGGACAACCAGGTGGGAAGTCGGGGTTTCATATGCTGACTGGCTCAGTGATAAATAATCATTTTTAGTTACTTTGGCAACAGTCGCTCAGGATATTCTTAATTGCACACATGATCTGGCTAGTTAGCATCGGTCCAGATCTCAGTACTTTTGACTTCTGAGGTGGTAACTGAATGGGAAGGAAAAGAAGATAAGGAATGGAGAAAAGAAAAAAAAAATTCCACTTGTCCCAAAATTAGCTTTGCCAGAGTTCTCATATTTGTGACAAAAGTAATGCACCCCTTTCTTGTTTTTTATAGTAAAGCTGTCTTTAAATCCAAAAAAGTAAATGTAGTTTTCTGGAGACAGGAAAAGGAAACCTCAGAATGTTAAATAGATTTGATTGATATCATTTTAAAAAGTTGTTCCCCAGGGGAAAAAAACCCAAACGGAAAACCCTTTGTCTAACAGTACTGAAGACCAGAGGGAATGTGCTAGTAATTAGGCAGACAGAAAATTTATATCCTTTAGATGTACGCTTGGCTCAGTTATACACACTGTAAATTCAACAGATCATGATAACCTTGCTGCAGGATTACACAGACGGCACCAGGGCAAGGCAGTAAACCATGTTATTGCCTAAATCCAACAGGTAATAAGGAGGGTGCAGGGAAAGCAGCTGACGGCTGTTTAAAATATGTTCCCATCCAAACATTTCCTTTCTTATCTGCTTGGTTTTGTTTCCGAGTCAGAGAAGCCTTTAAAAACCAGAGGGAGCAAGAGGTCAGAGTGGAAGATCCTTACTGGTGGTGCGGTTGTTTTCCATGAGAGACGAACACGCGCGCGCGCGCACACACACACGATTTCACACACAGGGAGGCAAATGGCAGACAGTGAGAAGCTGTTGCTATCCTTTCTCCTGCTCCCATCCAGGACCAGGGAGTAGGGAGGCTTTTAAAGACGACACAGCGTTCGTGGCCCAAGTGCCCTTGCCTTGTTCCTTCCAGGAGGAGGAACTAGACCTGCAATGCCTTGGGGACACAGAGCAGTTCTCGCACACACAGACTGCCCTGCACAGGAAGCCTGCTTTCCATGTCGGTAGGAAAACAGCAGTTGGGCCTCTGACTCCCGCTGGACACATCGCTGGCCAGAAGAACTGGGAAGGGGCATGGGAAAAACTGAATGATCCTGGACTGACCATACTTTTTCACAGCACAACTGGTACACAAGAGGTTTGTTGGACAGACACACGCACAATGGCTTTAGCGCTCTCTTGCATGAAAGAAATCCGCTCTGTGGTTGTGGTGTTAGGTCGTAGCCAGTTCCCGCCTGTCGCTTCAGGAAGAATCTGATGGACTGTACAATTTTATTCCCTCAAGAATAAGGCTGCAGCTGGTTTTTGGCCAAAAGAGAAAGAAGAAAACAGAACAAACCCAAAACAAGAAAAGGAGAGTGGCCGGCTGCTGCTGCTCCTTCTTTGTTGTTATTTGAGTCTTCACAGTGCTCCTAGCTTCATGGCTGGCTGAGTGGATGGCTCTTTATTTTTAATTAATTTTATTTTACACTGAAATTTCATAGGTTGTTCCACCAACTCCAGACACCTTCTTAACGTTTGAGTGTCTAGCAGGGCTGACAGGCGTCCCCTGGGAACTTGATGTTGAACCCAACCTGGATATTCCTTTTGGCTGTCCATTTATTTTACTGTGAGGTGTCTTCAACTGCATGTCATCCCTGCATCAAAAGAAATATCAAAAGATGCAATGTTAGTGACCAAAGTGTGATAGCAGAATGGCTTCATTCAGGATAAACAATTATCCCTGTTACCCTGAGTCCCAGTGCTGCAAAATATTCAAGCATGGGAGCAACCTGGTTGAAGCCAATACACTTGATGAGAAGCCACTGAAATGAGAGAATTCATTTGGCCATTAGGTTAGCGGATCAGATCCCAGTAATATTTGTTTATTTAATGACTTGCTTAAATGCTTTGTTGAACCAAACTAATTGCATAAGCATTTATAGGATGCAGGAGGGCTCAACTGTCACCACTGTTGATCTTAAGCCAAACTATGTCTTACAATCAGAAATAAAATACTCAGAAAAAACACTTCCCAGTTAAATATCCAGGTAAACAAAATTCTGTTGCTCATTTCTGAAAGACATAAGAGAGGTGAAGTGTAAGACTTCTTTATGACAGAAGACGCAAACTGAATCAAGTCAGGAAGCACTCTAGGATGCCTGTAATTAAAGACCATATTCCAGATGGACTCTTTAAAGTAATTTCCTTTCTTATGACCTACTGCCAGGGAGCATGGACAACAGGCTTTCCTCAAAAGTTCTTTTAAATCTAGGCCACTACACATTAAAGCTTAATGCGTCTCATCCTCAAGACTCACAAAGTAATTAGATAAAAGTCTACCAAAGAACTTCTGTATGTTCTGGAAGTGCCAGTACAACCAGGGTCTGCTATATTCTCACATCTTACTCCTGCACAGTGGATGTCTGCATGGGTTTGCCTCAGTCTGAAGTTTAAGACTGGCTCATGCCAGCAGCAGTGACCAGGGGCTGAAATACCTTCCAGAAGGGAACGCTTTCTGTCTGCCCGCAAACCAAGGCAGCCTGAGCTATTTCAGACCACCTTGACACTTTTTCTGGAGGCCAGAGGGTTTGATGGATTAACTGTATTCCAAAGGTGATTTCTTTCTTTACATGTGTCTGCAAAACAAAACAAACTACCCCTCTTACGCAAGAGCTTACACAGCTCTTGATAGGCTCAGAATAGTTCCAAACCTAAAAGCACTTCTTATGTGGCAACCTGGGCTGACAGCTGTACCCCGGAGCTGGAGCAGCAGGTCCATCAGCTCACATCAGCCCAGCTTCTACTACGCATTTAAGCTGTGCTTGCACTGGAGAATGGAGTCGTGGGTATCTGAACCAGCAAAACACACATACATAAATATAAAAATAAATATTGTGTGGTTTCATAAATTCTGCTGTATCCCCAAACAGCCGAAATACACAGGGACCAAAATCTACATTTGCCTCACCAAAGTATTATAAAAGCCCTAATTCAGTGCTGAAATTCTCCTGAAGAATACACTTTGCCTCCTGAAACAAGGCAGAAAGGAGCGGGTAGTGTTAGGAGAAAGGGGAGAAGGGAAAGTCATTCGTAATGTTACTGACAGAGAAAACACGCTAGGTTTACAAAGCACAGAGTGCCTGTGGTAGGTTTACTTCACTAGGTAAAAACCTTCAAGTTTATTAAGCTATTTATTTATTAATCTAGGTACTTGACTTGACTTTAGGAACTTCAGTAAAAAAGATCCTCTGCAATGGTGTCATATGTCTGCAACTTTCTTTAATACCTGATGGGATCTGTAGGTATTTTAATAGCTAGGCCACTTTTGCCAGACACTGTATTTTTCATTACTTCGAAGAGCTGAACTGAAGAGAATTACAGGCTCTACATTTTAAACAAGCACAATGTAAAAGCAGTGGGACCAACAGGCTGACAGCACAACCAAGAACCAGAGACTAAGAAAAGGCAAACAGCTTTTCATATTAGCATCTTTCCTACAGCAGCAGCTGACACATCCAGGTCTCAAACAGAGGGCAGAGAGGCAAAAGAAAGTCCACAGGTCTTCTTTCACTGAAACAGACTCATTTCTTTAATACATATGAAGAGGAAAAAATGGCTATCTACCTCCCGAAAGTTAGGTCTTCCACCAGTACACAAATCATCTTAACAACTACAATTCACTTGAAAACATTGAGGAAAAACTTGCTGGCACTAAACTTCAGGAGACCTACAAGAATGGTTCTCCCACATTTCAATAACTTTCCCCAAAATATTGGATAATACTGGAGTGAGAAATCTGGGACCTTAACCAGAGGACAGCATAATGCAGTAAATGCCAGATGCAAAGAAAACCTAGATATTTCTGATGAGCCCTCCAGGCCTCAACTTGGCTGAAATACTGCATCCTCGGCAGGATCATGTAGCTCTTTTCAGACTTTCCAAGACCTATAGTCTCCAGAAGGCAGAGAAAAAAAGATAAGCGCATGCAGAAGCTGCAGCTGAGGATCTTGCTCAGATACCGCTCACTCAGGCCCTCAGCACAGCAAATCCTCTCTCTTCCCACGCTTTCTCATAGAAACGAAGGAGGCAGCAAGGCCCTAAGGTAATGCCAAGATGATCTGTGCTTTTATCACCAGTTCTGTACTATGGGACACCCAACACAGCTAAATACACAGCTCTCTATGCCAAGCACAATTTCCAGGACTGGTCTCAGCCCCTGTTTCCCTTAGTGCAGGGTATGCCTGCATGTGCTGTGATCCCAGCTTTGCCTCTGTGTCCAAGCAATGGCTGGGTCCAGCCTCCCTTTAGGCTGCAAACTAAAACAGCTCCACCCTTTTGTGCATAACAGGAGGGATAATCTGCCTCGTATCTTGCAAATCATTACCCAATTCAGCTAAGACACGAAATCAGTATGACTTTTACATCTTAATTGACCACCCGTGGTTCAAGTTTCAGCAAATGTACAAATGTTTTGTCATGATGAGGTTGCTATGAGGGTGTCGCAGAATTGAAGAGCACCCGCAAACCTCCCACCCTCACTGGCCTACAGCAAACATGTAATCTGGGTCGTGCCTCCAGCAAAGCGCTCTGCACTTGCTTGCAAACAGATTCACATTGCTAAGCAGCACATAAAGCAGTACATACCTTTGTGCTCCCACTGATTGCACCTCTGTAATTTCCACAGTGTTTACAAACGAGACAGCCTTTGGGCCTCCGTAAGAGGGTGACCTAGGCATCCCTGTGGGGGATGACGGGACCTGGTGGCCTGGGGATTTGTAGGAGCCGTTGCTCACCCTGCCCTGTAGTGCTTGATGGGACTGGACATTATTATTAGCTAAATCAGCTTGCAGAGAGGTTGTGGAAGTCCTTGGTGCTCTTGTCATTGCACTTGAGAGTGAAGACACTGAGGACTGCAGTATAGGGTTCCTTGTGCTAAAACTGGTAGCAGCCATCAGATTGTCCCTAGATCCGTATCTCATTGCCATGCTGCGTGGGTCTTCAGAGAGTGTGCTGACTTGCTGAAGGCTGTAAGAGCTAGGGGTGTCATAGACACCGGAGTCTGCAAACACTGAATCAGGGTGCGAGTGGAGGAGCTTCTCCCTCTCTTCCATCTCTTTCCTCTCCTGGATGGATGCCATAATGGTTTTGGAAAGGTTATCATAGCGGACCGGGGAGGGGTCTCGCTGATGTGGAGCTGGACCCCCCAGCACTGGGCTGAAGCTCTGCGGTGGTTGGCGTTGCAGCTCGCTCCCCCGTAGATGGCACATTTTGGCTGATAAATATGGGGAGTGGTACCCGATGGAGCTGACCGCAGAATGGGCGATGCACTTCCTCCCCGAGGGCGACATGGGGTTTAGCAAACTGTCATATGAAAGACTCCCATTTCTGTTTGACAGGGAATTGGGAGAAAAGATGCTTTTGTAAGGGGTGGAAGCCGCCCCTTCAGACTTTATTGGATGAAGGGGCACTTTGTCTGTCCCTCTCCTGCCAGCAGATTTCAGGCTCAGGGATCGTGAATTGATGGCAAAGGAATCTATCTGGAGCGGGGAAGACTGATAAGTCTTGTGGAGGGAGCTCTTCCGGTAGCTGGGGATGTCCAAGCTGGGTTCGGACTGGTAATCAAGGCTCCTGCCGTCCTCTTCTATCAGAGCCCCTTGACTGTGTCCCTCCTGCATGGTGATCTAAAACAGAGGTGAATATGAGAAACAGAAGTCAATGATATGTAAGTACAGGTTTGCTCTCCATGGTGAGTGCACAGGAAGAAAAGAGCTGGAGGTCTTCTCTCAGACTCTCAGCCTAGCCATGACACAGGTTCATTATAAGGAATCTCATAACTCCTGTTCAAATATGGATAAGCACCTTAGAAGCAAGGTGGAGTTATTCATAATAAGTGCTAAATAATATTGACAATAATAGATGTGTCAATACATGGACACTGAAACACAGAATGAGAGAGCTGAACTGATACTCAAGTCTCAGTCAAGGTAAATCAGATTGTAATCTGATAATACTGCCCTAGAAAAAAGCACTTCACTTCAAGCTTTCTACAAACAGCTCTTGAGCTGAGGGATGTCTGGTTTTGCGTGCTGCGTCAGAAATACCTTAGGCTTCATTTCAACACACTCGGGACCAGCACACTCTTATCCACTTTATTCAGAGGTGTTAATATTCAGTAATTCTGAATTTCTGGTCATAGGTCCTCAAAATTAAGCACCTAAGCTTAATTAAAGCAGAGAGGCTCCTTCCCACCATTCAGACAACAAAACGACGCAATTTTCTCTTTTTTATTGCCTGTGTAGGAGAGAGTGGCCACATCAGAGAAGGAAACGTAGGCCATAATTTATTTATGTGCATCGAAAACAGATAGGACTTCATTTCGTTTTACTCTATGAAAGATTGCTTACAGTTCTGTTCACTTAAAATGCCATTCTGTGCTAAGCAAATAATTTTTGCTGTTTTTTTTAAGGAAGAGTTTGCCGTAATGCACAATAAATTGGCTACATTGGCTCTGCTAACAAAGAATTATTATCAGTCACGTATTTAATCAGGAATGCAGCCAATGCAGTTTGTTCTTTATCTAATTTCTGTTAAAGGAAAATTATCCAAAAAAGCCTAACTGGCAAAAATCTGGTTTATTCTGAATTTTTCTTCAAGTTCTTTTCTTTGAGCTAGAAGATAGGGAAATATGCAAAACAGCTCACTGTCTTCTAGAGCATGGTACTAAATTTGGCCTTCTCTGGAAAAAGGAGACCAAGTGACAGCCTGTAAAGGAGGAGGAGAGAGCAATGACATAGCTTGTAAGTATATTTGTGCTACTTATCCTTCTGTCCCGATCCCCCTTTCCTAACAGCTTTCACTGCTCAAAAGCAGAATTACATTAACAGGCTGAGGAACCGATACAGAAGAGACAACATGATACTCCTCACACCAGCTAGTGTCTTTCCCTCTGTACCTTATACTTAGATATGGCTTGGCAGACAAATATATGCCATCCTATCAGCTTGCCAAGTGAACTCATTTTTATAATATTCCCATTTGACTACTAGAAAGTTGTGACTACTATAAAATTGAACAAGTCTGCAAAGCTGACTGTATGCACACAAGTCAGCTTATAGTAATCTTTTTAGGTTAGGATTGATACAGCAACCCTCAGAGTGAAGATGCTGTACCCTGTTATCATTTCATAGCACTGCCCAGTCTCCTGGCCTAATCAGAACCTATCCTGTATCTATATTGCATCTATGGCTATGCACTGAATTAATAAAACAAGCTTGCCTTCCATGGCTCTCTGACTTTTGGCATCGTGACCCAAAATACTGTTGCTTACACAGCTCAAAATTGCTAGCTGATGCCTGTAAACAGAATATTCTGAATTGGATGTCAAGCCATTTTTCATGTAACAAAAAGTAAAGTTGGTAGGATATTAAACATATGGATACAGTGAACACACTGGTGTTATTATGTTCCCTTTCATAAGCCAATCTGTTCTTCATTAAGTGGACAAATCCAGAGAATAAGATTTACAATTATTGCAGTAAGACTAAAACCCAAACTTGGTGGTAGCTGGAATTCCACCATCTATCACCATCTTTCTTTTCAAAACGAGAAGGATACTAGAAAAGTTTTCTTCACCATTTAAGGAACATTCTGTCTTATTCCAGTGTTGCTGCAGTCAGTTATATACCTCCACCATATTTTCCTTTCCTTACTTATATCACCCCCTTTTTGTTATCGCAGGGGTGACATTGGAGAACCTGATGAAATTAATTGTAAGAAAACTTCATTGTGTATGGTATGTGTGTTTTAAGGGTATCTCCACCGGTGTGTGAAGACTTGGATACATATTGCAAACATACAAGTTAGACCAGAGATTTTCAAACTGCTGTTCTCAGGTCCTGGGGGAGCCAAGGAATATTTGCAACAAATCCATGAGAAATAAGTGAGAAAAACAAGCCTATTAGCAGTGGACTTAGTTTTGCACTCTGCTTCCAAAGGAAACAGTGTAAACTGTTTCTAAACTCCTAAGCAAAAGAGAAAACAGTCAAAATTCCAGAGCAAGTTTCTCTAATTGTTTGGACCTCAGTTTTCTTGATAGGAGGAAATAATGCCAAGTGTTAGGAAGTTTTTTTTTCCATATAACCCAAATGCGCTGAGAAGGTGCTAAGGAAGGTCAAACATGAGGAATCTTCCATTAATTTTAACTAAAATATCTCTTGGGATGCTTTAAAAGTTCTTTCTGTTTTGCAAGCTGACATCTTAAGGAATCACTGAGCACGTTGTCTTGTTGTATAAGGGTCTGATCCAGAAAAGCGCTAAGCATGCTCCCTCTGAAGTGAATGTGAGTTGGCACCTATGTCAGGAGAAGCCAATGGGAGGTGACACTTCTCAGCATCTCAGGATCAGGCCGAGACACTGGTAAAGCAGCAGTGCACACCTGTCAGCAGGACAGACATGTCAAACTCAACAGAGGAAAGCTGCGAAAGCAGACATGTTTTCATAGGGAGCATAGTGAAAATACACACTATCGCACAACAATGCCAAGTGTTGTTTTTTACTTTTACACTCTGACATTCACTACAGCCTTGCGGTGAATTTATCCTTAGCTTCATGTTGCCCGGTGTTGGCTGGGAACAGATTCTCCCAGGCTCGCTCACCTGCTCAGCCGTAGCATGGTAGTGGACTTTAGGATTGTTGCTGAAAGCCGGTCGATACTTGTACATGGCAGGTGTAGGAGGGCTGATAAGTTTGGGTGAAAGGCGTCCTTCTGTAAAAGAAAAAAAATAAGGACTTTCTGTTAAAATGTGTGGACAGAAAGCTATCATCCCTAATTCTTTGCTCTCCATGGTCCTCTGCAAACAGATCTGTTCTGGAAAGAATAAAACTTGCAGTACTACAGCGTAGAACTCCACCAAAATCAATGTGGCCCCTGTGGAAATAACAGTACATTGCTGCCAGAATCAGCAATCTAAAGAGAAGAAGAAACAAGGTATAATATATTAAGTGGGGTGACGTATTTCGGTGAGTAGTAATTTTGCCATAATTTGAAATACTACATATTTGGGTTGAATTCAGCTACTAGTTTTGTCGGGAAAAAAAGAGGTTTTTTAATAGTATCAAAGCTTTAATTTCACATTTTTGTAAGTGGAATAATTCAGTCTGTAATGCCTAAGCATTTCATGCTAGTATTTCTGATTCCTTAGTTCAAAATGACACTTTTCATTTTAAAATTGATCAAAAATTTCAGGAGGAGTTTAAAAGGGTTTAAAAACTCTGCAAAATTGATATGAAATATCCAACCTAGGCTTGAATGAACCACTTCAAGCTGACTTCTCCCTCCCTTTCCTGCTGTTTATTCCCCTAGCTCAGAACTCCTACAAATAGAAAAAACCCTTCACCCAGATCCCATTACTGTTTTGAAAGAATACCAGAAGCCTTTCAAAGAGGCTGAAATATTTTCTTATTAATAAAAATAAAACACTGATCATGCAACTATACCTTCACTGGTCCCCAGCTGCCCTTTTAGCTCAGAATACTTGCTTGGATCTCCTTTGGGTGGGAGAGGTGGTTGCACATCCATACTTTTATCCTCCAGACCTTCCAGGCTAATTTTAGACTGAAAACGACCAAAGAATCAATCATTACCCGCAATTGGTTAAATAACAGCACGTATCAGAGTGCTGGATGTACCACAGAACAAGAACTACCTATACCTATAATGACAAACATGATTTAGCATCCACTGCAGACAAGGACTGTCATGTGTAAAATTAGGATTGTCATAACAAGCCAATATAATTTTAAATGCACTATCCTAGTCTACTTGGCATGCCAAATAACATTATTATCACGCTAGTTACTATGTGGTAGAAGACAATGGTGTTTTCTAGCATTTTTCAGCAACTTTCCAGGCAGCTCTCAGCAAATAACTATCCAAAGAGTGTAACAAGTAAGTATTCACAAAAATCCTGCAAGGTGGCGTCTTTTGAATCCACTGCTTTTTATATGACTAAACAAATCTTTATCTCATGCCAGGAAAAACTGAAAAAAGAAGAGGAGAGAAGAGAACTCAGCTTTTGAGCCAATATTCCTTTCACTGGACCACAAGTCTTCCTGCAGTCTGGAAGCTCAAAACCTTCTTTGAAGTAGAACAGCTGACCTGCTGGTGGTACAAGGGTTCCCGCATAGTGTTAGGTTCGTTAAAATTAATTTGAACACCAAGAGGTGGCAACGCTTGGGACAGAAAGTAACTATTGCAAAAAACAGCCACCTCTTCCAAAAGATGCCCAGAGGCATTCTATTATAGAGCTGCAAAAAGGGCTATTAGTGGATCAAGAGCTGCTGTTACTGAACCTGGGTTACTTTCAGAGGATGAAGTATCGACAAGGACTCAACCTCTACAATTTTCTCCAAAAAAATGCATCACCTCAAAGAGATTTTCAATGACAAACTCATTCCCAGGCTTGATAATGCTCAATCCCTGCTCTTCAAAAGCAGCGCCTGAAGGCTGCCTTACCTTGCTCCGGTTGAGGTTGGCTTGGATCCCGTTGTCACTGATCTTCACTGTGATCTGTCGCTCAGATAAATCAGGTCTGAGGAAAGGAGGCTTCACACTCACAGCTTGCTTTTTCTTTGGCTCAACTACGTACCTGATTAATTGTTCAACAGTCATAATTAAAATAAACAATAACCTAAGAACAAGGCACAGAGACAAGAAAATCTTCCTGCTTCCAGGGTATGATTTAAGAATGTGTCAGAATCTAGGTACGCAAACTCCATTTATTTCAATGGATGTAATAATTAAAAAGCAATAAAAAGATCAATGACTTTTTTAGTGAACAAAAGGAGAGGATGCATTTAAAAACCCAAGCAATTTTTGAAGCACTGATGGACAAGAGCACAGTTCACATGAAGAGAGAAAGAGAGGCCTACCACCAATGGAAGCGATTTACTAGATCTTACCTAGTTAACATGAAACAGCTTCCCTGCAGTGGAAGACGGTGACTGGGGGAATAAGACCCAGCACATGGGGAGTTAACATGGAGAAGATGATGTGCTGTCAGTTCTAGCTTACCACGGTGACTTGTTTCTGTAGCATGTTTAGAGTGTTCAAATAAACGGAGGGAAAAGAAACAGACAGGTCTATAGGAAGCAACAAATCTAAAGGGAAATGGCTGACTTTAGATATCTAATTTTTTTCCAACGGATTAGAATTCTGTAAGTGCAGCTGGGCAGTGGCTATACAATGCATAAATATCAACACACACACAAGCTTTCTCCGTTTTGTCAGGTGAATAGGACATTCTAGTAGTGATGGCTCAGTGACTTTCAATATACAGGACAATTTGAACAGGTCTTCACAAAACATAAACATTCTGCTTGCTGAGAGTCTGAGAATAGCCATGATGATAGTACTCACACCCCTCTCTTAACAGGAGTGTCTCCCAACTTCAAATATCCGGCTCTCTTAAAAGTATGTTGACCTGATTTTCACATTTTGGTAAGTTTGAGAAGCAGCTATTCCAGTGTCTTCACTTTAACACATGTAACAGTCTTTTAGGACTTATTTGTTGTACAGCGAAGGGAAAAAAAAAAGGCAGATAATTTGTGTCAGGGTGTGGAATTGCTCAACACCCTGAAAAGGCTCAAATAAGTCTTCTTGTAGTATGATTATTAACATGTTTGCAGGCTGGACAGCTCAGCACCTAGGATATTTATACTCCATCTGATCTACTGCATTAAAATCCTGATTTCAAAATGTGAAACGATAAATCCATTTCCCCAAAAATAGAAAGCCATAAATAAAATCCCAAGTTTCATGATGTAGACCTCATTGAAAATCTGTTTTATGGTAATGGAAGTGCCAGTGAGATTGAAAACCACAGCAGCCTTAAATTAGATTTAAGTCTTAAGGACAAAAGCTGATTTTAGATTCCTTCCTTTTCTCCAGCAGACTAGAATACCTGAACATTGACTGTACAGTGCAAAAAGTCGTGTTGGGAATATGATAACATACAGAAAGTTACCTTGTTACTGAAATCCACTGGATAAGCAAGTTCGTGAAGGCAAGGGTATCAGCTCTTGATACAATTTGACATGCTCATTCCAAATAAACATTTCTGGGATGAGGGTTATGAATTGCATGAAGAAAGCAACTGCTTGGACAGGTTACAGCCATGCAACAATGAAGCAGCTATCACAGAGCTCTGCCTTCAGGAGTGTTTTGCTTTACTTCCCTGTTACTTCACCAATGGTCTTTAACTTGTGAGCCCAACCAAGCAGATTTTCTTCCTCTGTCCCAACAACTATTCTACCTCCCTCATTCCCATTTAGAGCATTTCTCTTACCTGGGAGCCAAGGGGCTGCAGAGCACATGTTCCACATTTCCACAGCATCCTCGGGTAAAAGGATTCACTCCCCCACGGAATTTACCTGTCACCTGGAAACATATTCAGAACAGTGCTCAAACTTCTGGTTATATAAAAGTCATCATCCAATCCTCGGAAAGCCAAGAACAAGTATGCCTTGCTCTGACCCTACTGTCCTTCCCAAACAGATCGTTTTCCTTTGAATGCTGCACTTTCTCTCTCCTGCTCTAACACACCACCTCCATCAGCTACTTCTAGCTAGAAGGCACACCAACGAAGATCCCTTCCCAAAAGGGCAGTGAACTCAATGTGACTGGGTTTCAAAGTGGTCAGGTTCACCTCTCCATGCTGCTCCTGCATTAGATTCGTCAGGCAGACATCCTGTTTTGGTCCCTGTCATTCCCCTGTCACTTCCACTCCTCTGCCTTGGCAAGTACCCTCCAAACAAACAGGAATGTCAATTCAACATTCGTAATGTTGGATGAGAGCAATGTTTCCTCTCTATCAGCATCCCATCCCTAGCGGCAATCAGTACAAACCACTGCCTTATGCGGGAGGGTGCCAGGAGCTCCCTAGTGATTATGATGTTTGCTTGGAAATGAGCTAGTTTAATAAAAGCCAAGCCTCATTAGACTGGCGGGATCCATTCAGAACTTCATAAGCATTATAAAGGGTTTGTACTCTACAGGCAGATACTTGAAAGTAACCATATGGGGATAAATACCAATAAAGCCAGAGAGATTAATAGTGGTTGCCATTAAAAGCATTACTGTTGCTGTTTGCAAGTAATGCATTTTAATTAACTCATAGTTCTGATCTAGCAACAAGTTTACAGAGTACCAGAAATACTTTAATTACTTGCACAAAATAATGACGATTAGATGATTTTGCAATATATTATGCTGGCCTCTTTGATATAACATAAAACTCTTTAAAAGGCCAAGAGAGAAATGTTGGAACTTCTGAGTGTTGGAAGAGTAACCTGATGACTAAAACATGGGCCTGGGACATCTGCATTCAATCCTGGGCTTAAGCTGACTTGTGCCAGATGCTGGCAAAGCACTTCATATCTCTGTGCCCATTTTCTCAAACACAATATGCAAATAAAATTTCTCTAACTCACAGATTACATTACTAATTATATCAATTTGGTTTCTAAAGTAGTTTGAAATCCACTGATAGAAGGCAATCTCAGAAGGAAGGATATTTATTTACTCTATTCAGAAACTAAAAATACCAGGATATGAGCAGATGTTGGGTTATAGGTTATTTTGATTCCATAAAAGACTTTCAGAGGCATTCAGAAAGCTCACAAACATCTAAACTCAGCCACTATGCACTCCTAAATAACAGTCTGCCTACTATGAATGCTCAAAACCTATGAACCCCGGAATGAACAAATACCAAAAATTTACAGTAAAACACCAAAAATGTCTGTACCACTGGCCTATAAAATGTACTGGGAAAAGAGGACAAGTGTAGCTAAGCATATTGTAACTGGAAAGCTGACAGCAGATAACTAACAGTGTGAGAAAAGAGAATCAATACTGAGACTGCAGGAGAAAAGTGAATGTTTTAAAACAGTGGCAAAGCCAGGAGCAGATCTCATATCGTCATTCCTGGTCAGGTGCTTAGTTACTTAGATATACTTCCTTTGAAAGGGACCTGTAGGCTGGGAATATCCATCCTCCAGTTACAGATAGGCAGTACATACGACTAAACCGAAATTAAGACCAGATTATATGTAATTTTCAGAAAATGGCATGGGAAGATGAATTAATGTCAAGTGGCTTGGTAGCTCAGGAAACCAAACCAAGCTAGGATGCATTTCCCAATAGTTATTTCAATCAAGTTAAATGCAAAATTCTCAGCCTTCCTAAATGTTAGTGTAGCCACAAACACAAGTAGTTAAATTTTACTTCTTTTTTTATTTAAAATTTTCCTTCCTCCTCGGCCTAAAATTTTCATGGACAGTTTTCATCACTGCACAAAGACAAGCCTAAGGCAGACCATGATTTGTGCTATGAGACCGAAATGCCCTGGGTTTCATGCTACAATTGTTAGCACTATCAAACCTAATACTTGGCCAAAATCAATTTTAAAATGAAAAGCAGCTGATTCCAAGCAGGACAGAGAAAAGCATTTAAAGAGCTATGGTAAGCCTGCTTTGTTCAAAGGCCATGTTAGGCAACAATTCAGGATGACTTCAGATTCTTTGCTTATGTAAACCTCCCACACTATTCTGGATAAAAGTTTTTATTGTCTCTTGTGGGATAGGAGACAATCTCATCCCAGTTTACGAAGGCCTGGCCTCAGACAGATGTCTTCAACTCTTACAGTCTGCGCAGCAGCCATACAAGCTACATAAGCATGAAGCCATCAGCCTGCTGGACAGCCAGAACAGCACAGTGCTCAGCGTGAGCTAGACAGCACCCATAGATGCAAGAGCAGTAAAAATGCATTTGAAAAAAAAGAAGTGAAAAAGACCTGTGATGTGGAAAAAAAAGTGAAAAAAACCCAGACGTGTGAGGGGCGCTTTGGAGCTGGAGCTGTGAAAGGGTAAAGCACTGTAATGCACACAATTAATTAGCCTTGGGAAGAAAGCTTGGGAAGAAAATGCTGTGTGCAGCTGACTGGCACGCTGCGTGACCCAGTGTCAAGCTTTCTAACTGAGCTACCCCTTACGAATGGCAGGGGCATGCTATCGATCCCATGACTAGATCTCTATCACTCATATCATGCTATTGATAAGCAGATGCGTATAAGTCTGGATCACACACATAGGGGCTGTGGATTATACACATTTGAGTAACTGCAGGGGAACTAAGGTTTTACAGGCTTTTTGGCACAAGATGTTGGCATGTTGGCACTTGGGTTGGAGAAGCAAAACAAGTTAGGTTCAATAGCCTCTCTGTGTGCGTGTGCACATACGCATGAGAACAAGACAGAGACAAAGAGAGCGAGACAAAGAGCTAGCTCAGACCTTATTATGTGCAGTGTGGGTTAGCTGAGCGAGTTCAAAATATCAGGAGACAGGGCAAAAGCATGATTTAATCTTTTCCTTTCTTTCTTTCATTCAATCTCATGGTTTGTTCAGTCTGACTCATAAAGTTCAAACTTCTGGGGTTGACAGTACTCGCCACATAAAACCTATTTCAAGGCCATGAGTAGATTTTAAATGATAAATAAGCCTGGGATGATCCTTTGTGGTTAGAAGGGGGAAATCTTTGCCTGTAGTGCATTCAAGAAAAAAGTCTGAAAATAAAAAACTAGGCAATCTTCCTAGATCTTCACAAAACCTCCAGTAAGAGTGTTACTGCTAAGATTTGGATCATTTTTTGCTTTACCCAAGCTGACTTGCTGACTTTCCTTCCCAACTAAACATCTTAGCCACAAACACAGAGAAAGGATTGCTTCTTACCTGTTCATTCGTTGTGCGCCCTCGGGCCACTAGAACAATATGGAAGCCAGTGAGACCAATGACTGGAATAAAGAATAACCCAGCCACACACATGACAGCCATTCTGTAGCCAGGAGTTAAAGAAACTGGGATGAGTGAAGGGAAAAAGAGGCTATGAAGGAGAGGGAGAGGAAAAGGAGAAAAAAAAAAATCTTGGAAATAGGGAGGGTGTCCCTTACCTTTAATTAGGTCTAACTAAATTTTATCTCAAAGTTAAGTCCATCTGCTCCTACCCTGGGTCCTCATCCTTGAGATGGTTAAAAAATAACGTGAACTCATTGATTCTGGCTCTAACCATCTTGTAAAGACTGTTCTGCACTAATCTATCAACAGGGGTAGCACCCCTCAGAGCCAGCAGTTCATGTATTACACTAGCATGCAGGGGGACTGCTTCCAGGGCAAGCTCTGCTTTAAAATACAGTAACAGAGTTTTAAATACAGTAAATAGTACCCAGCAGTTTAGAGTCACACCCAATTGGAAGTAAAATTTGGGGAGGCAGCATATCCTTCTGCTGGGTTGTCATGGCAAAGATTGAGATACACAAAAGGTCAGCTACAGTTTTGGGGGTAATCAATGGTTACACAGGCAAGATGGGTACAGAGGAAAACCTGCACTAAGCATTTACAGGGGAAGAGCAATGGGGGATCAGGAGAGGAGTAGATCTCCACCAGTTCCAGGAAGACAAATCTTCAGATTCATTCCTTCACATTTTCCTCAAGGCCACTTTGAGTCTTGAAAGACCAAAAAGAAGGATACGTAATGGTAGTATGAGCTGCTCCCAGCTTTTCCATATGGTTTAGTACAAAGATGAGCCCAAAGGTGAATACTCCAACCATGTGCGTACTTAAGGACAGCAAGAAGAGAAAAAAATAGCGGTAGTTCCTCCGTCCTATGCAATTGTTGACCCATGGGCAGTGGTGGTCAAAATCCTTGTAAAGAAAGGGAGAGATAGGGAGCAATATCCAAACGGTGAAAGGAAATACATTGTCTTAGAGATAAATCCGAACCATCATCATGTAAAATAACATCAGGCTAGTTCTGCAGCTTTACCACATGCTAGACTCTCTTTATAAGGTTCTTCTTAGGACTGAGTGGTTTCTGTATCTATGGATGGAGAGGTACTTGAGTGTTCACAGGGTTTGAAGAGAGGACATAAAAAAAAAAAAGACAGGCTATTTATCTGCTAGCAGCAGAAGCACTAATTTTTTATCATCCTTAGCACGAGGAGTCAATTACAATGAAGTTATTATAAGTTAGAATGTTTTGGAGATGCAATACTGCTGCAGAATTCTCTGCCCCACATTTCTGTATTTATACGTAGCTGAATGAAACCACTTCAAACAATGGACATCACGAAAGATACTTTTTTACCAAGCAGGTCCCCAGAGAAAAGCAACAGCAACACAGGCAAAGTTCTGCACAAGTTCATTAATAGTTATGGACCCAAACCTAACTGTTTGTCTCAGTCAAAAGTTCTAAGTCCCTGATAAAGTCAGATCCCTTTTAACAGGAGATTTAATAATGAGGGCAAGCCACAGACACCTTTCGTGCCTTTACACAGTTTTATAAGCGTGTAAATCCACTGTCTTCAATGGGGTTATTCTTGATGAGAAGACAAGATCAGGTGCAAGAAAAAAACCCTTCTTATTTCTGTGTTCTTCAAAACAGGTATTACACACTCATTACATCAATAAATGAATTGTTTATTCTTTGTTTTGTGGTAATGTTGTTTTTAAAAACATTCCTCAATGATGAGAAAGAGGGGTTTGTATTTTTAAGTTTTGCACAATGTATTTACCAAAAATTTACAAAATACAAGAAAATGGATTAGAGCGTTCTCAAAGCACATTAGAAAATGACAGGGGCAATTTGTTAAAGATCATTTCAGGCTATATCTGAAATGCTGACATAGCATATGTCTATTATGGAAATCTGGTTGTATGCAGCCCAAAATATCTATGGATTATGAAACTACATAAATACCCACTGCAAACACTTCAGTAAAGAAAACAAAAATCTGACTACTTTTGTCACAGATTCATTTTTGGATCCCTCTGGTCACAGCAGGCTTTAGGTTTTAACTGATTTTATTTCTGCAAGTGTTGTCAGCTTTTGTTGTTTGTTCATTTTTATCAAATTAGCTCAAAAGTTTTATATTTGGGAAAATAATTTTTATTGCACAATCTAGACTGAAAGTGAAAAGATGTGAATTACAACCCTGAATGGGTTCCACATGGAAAAGCCAGTAGAGTCGCTCCTATCATTGCCTCCAAGCTCTTCTAGAATAGAGAGGTGAGTGGGAAATAAGCATCACAAGAATCAATAAAGCATGCTGTTTAAGACCATGATTTATTGATTCAGAAGTCATTAATGTTTTTTGCCTATATTCACAGCAGTCATAATTTAAGTATACAAGCAGAGCTTCTTACTTGCCCACCACAATAGTAAGGAACATTCAACTGATCTGACCATCAATAAAACTTCTGGTGAGCTAGGCAGAGTCACCTTGCGTTCTGCTATTTTATTTAGGTTACTTTTGGATTCTCTCCCATTTTCATTTCTGCTGCAGAACTGCCTCCCATGGAGGTCTTATGGCAGCATGAAATTGCAAGCCATTTATACCAATGAGTTTTGAGCAATCTTTTTCTGAGAAAACTTCATTTGTTGAAAATGAATTTTCATGCTGAGCCACTGGGGAGGGCAGAAGAAAGAAATTCCATGGGACAACTGAGAATTTACCATCATCTAAATAATCCTCAGGATCTAGAATTAGTGAAAACATTCATGTTTTAAAACTAGGAATATACGACTCAGGTTTTCTACAAAAAATACAGCTCTATTCAACAATTCACAGCAGTCTAAAGAAATTGTATGACACAACTTATGAATAGCTGTGGCTATTCCTCTCTACCCAGGGACCCTGGCAGCTCCTTACTCTCCATCTTCTCAAATCCCGCAGCCTTCTAAGGCCTTCCGCAACAGGACAGCCTTGTCCTATTTATCGATGGTTACTAGGCACAGCACTGCTTCCAGATAATTATAACTTAGATATATATTGCCCTGAAGGACCAAATGACTGACACAAGATAAAGCCAGGCAGCCTTTCTCTCACACGTAACTGTGCTGCTTTCTTTGGGATTATTCCCTTGCTTATGGTAAAGAGGATTAGGACAAAGATGGTGTATACAGCATTCCAGCTGACTCTGGTATTTTTTCCCTTTCTGATTAGTAATTCCTTTCATTTTAATGGCACAGCTGAATATATTTTAGACATATTGAAGATTTCATTTTTCTATTGGGAAAAAAATAGACCTTGCAGCAGAAATGATCCTTAAGAAGTGGAATTTTTAGCTGAGCAATAAAAAATCCCCCCTGGCAATATACTGCTGTGGATACAGCACTCTGTACTCACAAGTTTGGGAGATGTTTATAGCCCAAAAGCACATCTTACTATTTGGGGGTTATTTTTTTAAAATCCTGTGTGCCTCACCAAGACCATAAGGCTATCAAGAAACATGAAAGTCCCATAATTCAGAGTGAGACCAACATTAGAAACATGAAGGAGTTCTTGCTCTGAGCTGGGGTGTTGGAACAAACATGGGGTCCCTCCATTGACTGAGAACCACTCACTGAATTCTGAGTTTGGTTCTCCTAAAGCTCACACACCATTCTAGCTTCTCTGCTTGTTCACTAATGCAGGCACCAGTTTGTTCCAACTTAAATGATGAGCTCTAAGCTCACACATGACAAGCTACAGTGGTTCACCCTGAATTTCCTGCTCTCCTGAACTCTGCTTCTGCACCAACTCTTCCATTCACCCCTTTTTTACATTCATGATCCCTTAGCTACTTCAAGGAAGACATAGCCAGCATTATAAATTTTTATTCTAATTATCACTGGCAACAAAGCTGACATCAAATGTTATTGCATATGTAATATAACTGAGGGTTATGTTTCAAATCGTACTAATTAGTAGGAGTCCATCAACAAGGCTACAGATGGGAACTTCCAAGAACTGAAATACTGGGGGAAGCACCCAACTGCATGTTTCCAATAGTATGTGCAACCCCATCACTGAGGCAAAGCCAACAGATCATGTAATCGACAGAACTGTTACCTCAACACAGTTGTCACAGACACTGCAGTGAGAGCAGCGTGGAGGACGGTAGAAGTGGCAGGTGGCACACCATTTCATCCGTACTTGGATTCCTTTAATCTCCACATTCTTGTAGAGTGGAGCTCGGAAGTCATCGTCTTTATCTTCATCTTCATCTGCTGCTCAATGCAAAACTAAAAGTTAGTGGAAATAACAGAGGGTAAAGATAAAAAGAGCTAATCCAGTCAGTGCCTTGGATAGTCAGAGAAAATAACTGTGGAAGTGATGCACTGTCAGAACAGGTTGTCTGGGTTGCAGAACACTTCAGTGATCAGGGCTCATTTTAGCACCTCCTATAGGAGTGCTGTGCAGCCTTACTCACCAGCCCCTGGACAAAGAGAAGTGTTTGAGTCTTGTCTTAGCCAGCATTTACAACCCAAATGAATAAGATAAGCTGCAGACTAGAGTCAAAGAGGGGATGGAAATCACCCAAGCCCTTGTTGTGAGTAGTTCTGCTGCATGCATTTGGGATTAATTCAATGCTAGCCTACCAGCACATAAAATGAAAGAAATTATACTGACAAATATTAGAAGGTTGTGCTACCTCAAACCCCCAAAATCAACCCAGATGACCCTAAGTGATGATGATTTGTTCAGCACTCTAGTGTCAGTCCACAATCATCCCAAAAACCCGTTGCTTCAGGGAGTCTGATGCCACAGGGAGATATACCATTCTGAAGCAATTTGCGTGCCCGTGAAAAGTCGTTGCATCAGTGCTTACTTCTTTATAGCATATCCCGTGCTCACCTCTTCATAGCATACCCAGAATGCTCTTGCTTTAGTAACGGTACATAACTGGGAAGATCTCACCTCTCTCAAAGGCAGCATGATCTACTGATCTGAGCACAGGACTGGGAGTCAGGAAGTCCTGTATTCTAATTTTCTCACTCTGTGGCCTTGAGCTACTCATTTAGCCTCTCTTTGCCATTAGTAAGATGAGGATGACAATATCACAGTCATCTTATTAGGGACAACGCAGAGGGCAGATGTTTTATCATCTCAGCTAAGCGCTGCCCTGTTTAAGAGAAGAGGCCATTTAAAAATCAACGCACAAAATAAAAGCCAATCTATGATAGACAAATATATATTGGGAAGAAAAGGAAAAAAAAGAGAATGACGTTCACAGAATTTCATCTTTTATTCTAGATTCCTGTGATCTTTATTTGTTTCCTTTTGACAGAGAAAATCTAAGAAGTTCACATCTATTTAACACCTGATTAAACATTATAGTGCAGCTGGCATTGGTTGACTGGCTCCAAATTAGGTGGAATTTGATAATATTGTCCCAGCGGGGAATCAATCACTGTCATTTAGTTCTATATTAAATCTTCTCTAAATGTGTTATCATGATCCAATTTCCATTGACTTCAGAGGGAGTTTCTCCCTTCACTTAGATGAGCTTGGGATCTGGCTCAGCTACAATATTTACCTTGCAAGAGTATTCTCTGGATTAACATTTGTGCGTGGAAGCAGAGTGCTGTACTGGCACTATTCTCTGTAATTTTCCTTCATAACTAGTCAGTGGGACTCTCAGTGAGAGCTAGACTCTAAATCCCTTAGGCACTTCTATAAATACAATCTGTAGGTTCTTCAATACTACTATAAACTAGCCCATGCTGTATAATACATGTGGGCATATGAAAACAAGACACTACAACAGTCAAACCATTTAAGCTCTTGTAAAAAACCTGACTATGCAGATAAAAAGTCTGTACGCTGTATATACCTACATGCGTATAAACACATTAGTCTTGCAGAATTGACACACACTTGAAGAGTTTGTATAAAATAGATTCACATCAAAAATAGCCAGTTTGTAGTTGGTATCTATAATTAGCCAGCAACAAACATTGCCAGTCTCAACCCAGACTGTAAATCAGATTTGTCAGGGTAGCCCCAATTTCAGTGACTTAATACTTCCTTTCCTTCTCGTTCATTTTGGTGTATTACTGGCAACTCACTTCGCACAGAGCCAATCCTGATTCATACCAGAAACATCCAGAGAGCCAAGAAATTAAAAAATTATTCAAAAACGAGTAATGGATCTGGAAGTTTGATTCAGGCCCTCTTCAACAACACAGGAGTGATCTGGGTTTACTTCCCCCATAGCCCAAGTTCTAGCTGCCAGAGAACCTGTAAGGTCATATGATATAGCTAGAAATGTGTTTATTTCCAGCTTTCGGTGATCTGAGCAGAAGAATACATTGGCAGAGGAATGTATCTTACTACAGAGATTCTCATACTCTGATCCACAGACACAGGGCAGCCAAGTCTCGTGTTTTTATAACATATCTTACGATTTTTGGTGGCTTCCTTAAAGGAATAATGTGATTTCATTAGAATCTCAGCTTTTCTATTGCTTATTTGTTGTTTTGGTTTTGAAGTAAATTTGTAACTAAGAAGCTTGAAAACCAAACCTAATTTCAATAACAGAAAGCAAATAGATCTATTGTATATTCATTTTAAATCACTCCTGCAATTTTTGAACTCCTTGCGCTGGCAGCTCTGCAGGCGCCATGGGGTGGCGATAGCTTTTTTCACGTGCACGCTTGTGATCTAAAATAACATCTCCTCCTCTTTCCTCCCAGCACTGGTATTTATAGTCTTTTCTTTATCAGTTTGCTTCCTTCACACATCTAAACTCCTACTGCACCACTTTCTTCCAGGATGACTTCCATCCCTTTTCTCATCCTTTCCCCACTCCCCTTGCTCCCAGCCTCTTCCAGACCAAACACATGCACAGCATAGAGATATAAGGCCAAGGCCACAAATGAAGAGACAGAAGAAAGGTGAGCCGTAGGAAACTCGACTTCCTGCTTTGCTCCTGACTCCCTTGTGTTAAGGGAGGTGGGAAGGGAGGGAAGGTGCTGAGAAAGTTTCAGAGTTTCTATTTCATCTCCCCTTTAAATGCAAAGTCCAAAATAAAGAACTTGTTTGCAAAGGGAAGTTAGAGAAGTGCAAAGGAAGGTATGAATTTACAATACACTCAGTACTGATCATTCACTGGGCATGGTGAGCACCCAGCTGCAGACTCCAGTCTGAGGGAACTATGTTGCACAAAGATTCCCAGACTGAGATTTTCAAAACTGAACAACTTTATTCCAGCTCTCCTCCCACCGAAGGCAAAGAGCATGGATGCTTTTGATAACCTCACACCTAAACCACGTTTAACCACTGCTATCTCTGCTGAGATGGAGGAACTAAAAAGTCCAGGAAATTCATCAAAAGCTTTAAGTGCTTAAGCTCTTTTGAAAATCTCACTAGCACCTATTTGTACATTTAAGCACCTAAACACTGCATCACTTAATCTTGCACAAATGACTGAATCTTGCCTTTGCCTTAGTTTGCCTTTGCACACAATTATTTCCTTAACTGGAGTGCTGCAACACTTAATCAGGGGTTCAAAAGCTTCAGCTGAAAGGAATGGCAGACAGATGCTCATCATTAGACCCTGCTACCTGGAGAAACCTGGCACTTGCTATTCAGGGAAGCCAGCAGGACAGGCACCTTGTTCTTGTCAGGTAGCAATTCAAAATAGATATTGAATTCAGTGAATAGAGGTGAGAAAGCACAGCTTGCAGAGAGCACAGATCCATTGGTTTAGCATACGGCCTACAGCAGTCTCTGCTGCAAACTGCATGTGAATAATTATTGGAAGATGGATAAAATGAGATGATAATTCTCTCATTAGGATGTGTTAAAAGAAATAGCTGCACTGTCATTCCCATTACAAAAGCTGAGCGATCTTTATCCTATTTAATCAGCTGTGAATCAGTACTAATTTAAGCAGGCATATCTTTCTAAATGTGTACATTTTTAGACCCTCTAAGGCAAGCCTTAATCATTATCTTTTTTAGCGTTCAATGCTTTTTGCATTTGTTTTAAGGCTTTTTGGAAGGTCTGCTTTGATGAAGCTGTTTCATAAAGTTCAGCCTCTCCCCTCCACCATGCTCTGCTACTTATTGTGAAGACAGTGACTTAAATCCAATGTGCCAGCATGACACAGGGGACGGCAATTGCAATCACATCGTCAGGAGAGCTACTCAAGGAGTAGCAACCCTGTGCCCTTGACTGCCAGTCTGAGCAAGTGCAAGGACAACTGACACCTCCTAGCTCAGGAAAGAGATGGAGGGTATCCAGCATTTCACTACCATCCCACCTCTACTGCCAGCTGAGTAAGTATAATAAATAAATAAATAAATAAAGTCTACAAGAAAGAATACCAGAAAAAAGGCGATTAGTCAGCAAACAGTGTATTTGGATACCTGACACCTCCTTTGGCTTGGGTTTTCAAATCCCGCCGCCCCCCCCCAACAGTCCCATTCTCTGTTACCTCGTGGGAAAACTCCAGGGTCCATGAAAGTTGCCATGCTGAAGTTTGCCAGTACAAACAAGAACACGAGCCCATTGTACACTGGGATGGCTGGCGAGATGGCTTTTGTCAACCAGGGGCACCTGTGGAAAAGAAAAGTTATAGATAAGGGCTCTTTTGGCTGTAACACATAGCTTCTTCCCATTCACCATCATCACACAGAGAAGTAGCCTCATCCCCTCCCCACCAGCCATGCAGCAAGGCTGAATTTGCAATTTAACAATAGAAATTTCCATAGAACCAGTTTCAGTGATCTAAAGTACACTGCCGACACCCTTTGTAAAGCTGCTTTGTTCCATAGCACAGAAAGCACCAATTGTTCACATGGCTCATAGGGCTTTGCAACCCTATTGCCTTATTTGCAACCTGGCATTTTCCTTCTCTGCATAAAACCTTCATCCCATTGTTGCATTTCTGTTTACCTTCTACATAGCCTTGTCACAGTTGGTGTTACTTTCAATTTTCTCTGGTGTAAAGCAGAATAGGATTTTTAAACCACTGATCTCCACAGCAGGTACAAAGAGAAGCACTCACTACACTTCTCTGAGTGGTTTTCAACTCCAGATAACACTCAGAACCAACACTACAAAACCTCTCCTTGGGGGAAAGTTTAGTCAGACCGAGCATGTGCTCTGCAGGTGTCAGCCGAATGTAAGAATGCAATACCAAAAAGAAAGTGCATCTGCCACGTGAGCACTTTTCAGAAACACCGGAAAGGCTTGCTGCCTACCCGACAAACGTAACTGAGAGGAACTGAAGATAAAGGGTAAAGGAGAAAAAGTAGGAGACTTCGGAAAGAGGATGGCTGTTAGTTATAGGAAAATTGTTCTAGCTGCAAAGAAGAACACTTCCCACCAGCAGAGGAGGGCAGGACCAAGGCAGAAAACAGCCTGTCTTACAGGCAACTTTTCCCAATAAAAAACAGTGTTTATTCACTCAGCTATTTACAACCTCTCTAAAGCTTATCTCTAAACACTAGACCAAATCTACTTCTCTGTTCTGCATAAAGAGGTTTGGTGTTACAGGGTTGCTGAGGGGAAAAATCGGATCAATCTCATGAATCTTGCAAATATAAGTAAGGAAAAATGTGGGACAAAGAATCTCTTTGAAAAAAGTAAGACCTCTGACTGAGTGGCTCCTTAGATTTCCACCTGCCTTGACAGCCAGGGACTCCTCCAAAGCTGCTGAGCAGCCAGCCATTCAGCAGCAATACCTTGCCACCATTAGCATAAATCATATATCGGCCACATATTCTGGATTGTATTTTGCCTGAATTACATCTATGGTCGAATCTGATTGTCTGCCAGGCTGAAGCCTGCGGAGAAAAAAAAAAAACAGCAAACAACAACCAGCCTTCTTCCAAATCTAATTTGCACTGGTTTTGCTACCAATATGCTGTTTTGAACAGCTGAGAATGGTGTTATTGACCTTGAAGAGACACTGTTAAACATGCTCTTGTGGGCAGCATTAGAAGGGCACCACGATTTCTCCTCCCATTTCTTTGTGAGCAGGCAGGAAGAGATTGTTTTGCGCTCCCCTCCTCTTCACAGCCAGGCTTTTAACATTGCACTGCTGCAAACTGCTTTTAAAAGGACCTTTCCTTGTGTGTGCTTCAATCAGCCTGGCGAGGAGCAAGTAAAAGATGGACAAATCCTGCCCAGGCTGAATGAACTGTAAAGCCGAGAGCAAGAGATGTCTGTGGCTCGGGCCAAACCTCCAGGCTAAGTAGGGGAGAAGGGAAAAATAAATCTTCTCACTTGAGTAGGGATGCTTTGCTACAGCCCACAGAGGAGGAGCAGAAGCATGGGGTTTCTCCTGGGACTGGTCTTAAGCAGGGAAAGGCCCAGGAAATTAACACCTATTAAAAGAACAGGAAAGGGCTGAGAGCTCAGTGGAGGAGAGCTGAATTTCCCTGTGTTTCTCTTGCATTCGGGATCTCGTCCAGGTGGTTGTGAAGCTTGGGTAAAGGAGCAGGTCTTGTAGAAAAGAAAGCTGATGGAGATGAACTAGCTCAGACAGCCCCAGCTGTCTTCAGCTGGGTCTGTCTGAGCTAGTTCATCTCCATCAGCTTGACTCAATGAGGTACCCGAAAGCCCTTCCATTCCCCAAGAGATGGAATTTCAACGTGCAGCGAGGTCATACTGACTTGCTGCCATGCTCAGTTTTCCTCAAAGCAGCTGCCAATGACTGAAAACCAAGGCAAGGCAGAAGTTTCTCGCTTGCCATGAAACGTGCCGCAGTGACCTTGCCAAGCAAGCTGCAGGCCTGTCACTAACAACAGTTTCTGCCAGATCCTTTGGAGGAAAGCAAAAGAAATCCTGAAATAAGCAGTTATAGAATGAATTCTACCCAGGGAAGGGTTCTTCCCTCTATATTATAGTAAAATTAGATTCGGCAATGGGCATGACTTGACTTCATTTCTTCTCATGAAGTAATTGCCTACACAGAGAAAGATTATGAAGTTACCCATTGCTTGTCAAGCGTGGAGGAGAGATTTCCCTGGCAGTAAAGTCAAGTAAGTTGGCAAATCAAGGAACAGGAAACACTTTCTTACAGATAACTAGTTACTCAGAACAAGATTATAATGAGAGAGACTGTCTCAGATGATTAACGTAAGCATTTGTTAACGTTCTCATTTGTGATTTACTTTGTCACGTTCCCAACAAATATATCAAAATACTAGGAAAAGCTTTAGCCATAAGCTAAACTAAACAGCTCATTTAATGGGTAAATAGTGTATCTGAAAATACTTCACGGAAGTTGAAATAAAGGATAGAGTGAGTCACTGTACATATTAGCCAGAAGGTCTGTTCACAATCCTTCTATTTTTTCTTCCCAGAATATTTATGCAGCATCACAGATTACATAAAATTAGATGGGACAGAAGGGGCCTCATTTGTAAACTAGATTGACCGATAAAAACAGATGTGGAGATCAAGTCCTGGCTCATAACTGTAAAAAGGTCTGAAAAAGAAAATAAAATTGCTACTAGGATTCTCAAAAAATTATGCATTCTCCCTGTCCCTCTCCCCTAATGCACACATAATTTTAGGCAAAGTAACAGAAACTCTAATTCAAGTTGTTTGGATGGTAGGTTGTTTTATCACTAATCCATTATGCAAAAGTCTGGCTTCCGACCCTCAGCGCTCTCTGCCTAGAGAAGGAAGCTGCAGAAATGTTTGCGCAGGACCTGTAGTGCGTTTCTCTTTACTTTGTGCATATCCTCTCTCCAAGAGATCGGCTTCCAGCAGCAATAACGCCAATCTATGGGACAAATCTAGCTGAACTTTTCAGTTGCTTTTTCTAACAGAAGCTGTTATGAATTTAGATAAAGAACACATGGATTCAAAGCTTTCTTTGGTTGGTGAACCCAAAATTTTGAGAAGCTACAGTCTTTGTGTCTTCAACTCATCTCACAGTGGAATTATATAGCATGAAGGTTACCACAAATTTTATAGGGCCATATAAATTAAGTAGAGCCAAGAGCAGTGCATAGTCCCCTAATGGAGCACCAACACCAGATTTTTCTGAGAGAAAAACTAAACCCCAAGATTTCTGATGTGCATTGACATCTAGGAGCAAAAATACCAAGTCCTAACCCGGAGCTTTTCTATTACAGCTTAATTATTGTGTTTGCAGGAGCACCTGCAGAATCACGGTCATTGCAGAGGTTAAAAGCAATATCCTTGGACCACCAAAAAGTTAAAAGTGATGGAACACAGCACCAGATGTTCTATGACTTGCTTTTTGCATAAGCAGCTAGACATGCTGCATATCTACATATCTACGTATCTACAACTCAGAAAACTCTCTGTTCTCCATGGCCATTATTCCTCACTGCACAATCAACATTTAAGTTCAAGGCAGATGTGAAAATAAATGTATGATAGCTGCTCTATTCCAAGTTAGTTTGGATCCCTCACTTGAACTTGGAGACCTAAAGGATAATACTGCTACTGTTGCAGGTACCAGCCATGCTATCAAGAACTGCTCAGGAGAGAAACCTTCAATGGTTTTATTTACTGTAGAAATTAAGAGCCAGCACACGCCACCGTGGCATACTAGAGATAATTATGGATCTCAAATTCTTCTGAATGAAGCACACAATTACACAGGCAGCATTTTCTTCATAATTATACTTCTCCGACATAGAGTGATTCTGCTCATAACTCAGAGGAGAGTAATTCAGGGTGACAGATTTAATCTCATTTATTCTATTTGCTCTTGAAACCCTATCCTAATAAAACTGAAAGTTAAAAAGATTCACAAATAGGATCACACAACTTGCTAGGTGTCAGATAGACTTATGCGTGATCAGCTGCCTTCCTCTGCTAAATTAAACACCAAATAACCCTTTCTGCTTTTTTGCTTAGTGCTTTGTAGCAAGACGTGTTTGTGTCTTATAATTATAGTTCACCTATAATTAAATTATTGAATAGGACGTTTTTCTTGAATCCTGCTCTAAATTAAGATTTGGTGTTTTTTATTAAAACCTTACACATGCTTAGAGAGGCAGTAGGCCACAGAGGATGGAGCCTGGGATTTCAAGAACCAGGTTTTAGTGTTGGCTATAACATTGGCTTGCAGAGTGACTGAAAGCCATCTGCCTCTCCCCTCTGCCCCAGTTAGGCCTTTTGCAAATGAGACACAAACTACTGACAGACCATCTTCCCCACTGCAGGAAAGAGGAGGGATCACCTTTGATTTTGCAAATCTCAAAGCGTCTCGGTTCGGGCCAGGCTGGTGGCCCTGGTGTTTGCTTCCCAGGAGCCCAGCACCAGGCACTCACCACCCTCTCCTGAACTGGGCAGGGGTGAGGCACACTGCTCCTGCTGACGGGCTGTTGTGTGAGGTTGTGTCTGTGATTTACCTAGTAAACAAGGCCAGTGGTTCTTTTTACACTCTACTTGGAGCACAACAAGCACGTGTGCACACAGGCTCCCTCAGGGCGCTGGGTGCCTGGAGGCCAGAGACAAGGAGCAGAATATGGAGCAGGAGGCTACAACCCTTCTCTTTCTAATAGAAAGACAATGAAATCTGCTTCTGTAGTGCACAAAGAAGATGTGGGAACCTCGAGAGT